ACCAGATGTAAATAGGGTGGTGTAGACTCTACAGAAATGTTTTTGCCATTCATGCTGTAGGGTGTGCTACAACAGGAGCATTTAATGTAACCTTACCAAAGAAACAAGTCCAATCCCAAATCCTAACTACAGTTATTATTATTATACAGGATTTATATAGCGCCAACAGTTTGCTCAGCGCTTTACATTATAACGGGAGACAATACAGCAACAATACAGTTCAATACAAGAGGGATAGGAGGGCCCTGCTCCTTGGAGCTTACAATCTAGGAGGGAGGGGCTAGTGGTACAAAAGGTAGTAACTGTGGGGGATGGACTGGTTGGAAGAGTAGAAGATTCCATTATTAACTGAGGGCAGGATAGGCTTCCCTGAAGAGATAGGTTTTCAGAGATTGCCTAAAAGTGAGCAGAGTAGGCAATAGTCTGATAAATTGGGGTAGAGAGTTCCAGAAGATGGGGGAAGCTCTGGAGAAGTCTTAGAGACGAGCATGGGAGGAGGAGACAAGGGAGCTAGAGAGTAGGAGGTCTTGTGAGGAGCGGAGAGTACGGTTTGGGTGATATTTAGAGACAAGATCGGTGATGTAATTTGGGGCAGAGTTATAAATGGCTTTATACGTTATTGTTAATGTTTTGAGTGAATAAGTTGCTTAGTGGTTTCTGAAGTTAGGGACGAGCATATCTTGGAGATGTTGCGGTGGTGAAGTCTACAAGATTTGGACAGTGATTGGATTTGGGACTGAAAGGACAGATGGGAGTCTAGGATTACACCCAGTACCCTGGCATGAGGGGAGGGACTGATGATTGTGTTATTGATCTTGATGGAGAAGTCAGGGGAGGGGGCACTGGCTGGGGGGAATACTAAGAGCTCAGTTTTGGAAAGATTGAGATTGAAGAAGTGGAGTGACATCCATGCCGATCTGTCACTTCGTAGGTTAGTAATGCGAGAGGAGACTGAAGGGGTGAGGTGAGGTGTAGAAAGATAGATTTGTGTGTCATCAGCATAGAGAACTTACTTAAAGTCATGGGAGTTTATCAAGTGACCAAGGGAGGAGGTGTAGATGGAGAAGAGAAGGGGTCCAAGGACAGAACCTTGAGGGACCCCTACAGAAAGAGGGAGTGAAGAGGAGGAGGCAGCATTATAGATAACGCTGAAGGAGCGCTGCAATGGGTATGAGGAGAACCAGGAGAGAGCAGAGTCTCTGAGGCCAAGAGAGTGGAGTTTTTTGAGGAGGAGGGGATGGTCAACCTTATCAAAAGCTGCAGAGAGGTCAAGTAGTAAGAGTACGGAGTAGTGGCCATTGGTTTTAGCAGTTAGTAGATCATTAGTGAGTTTTAGTAGAGCAGTTTCAGTGGAGTGTAGTGAGCGAAAGCCAGACTATAAAGGGTCAAGAAGGTTGTTGTCGGTGAGGTGGGAGCTCAGGCGATTGTAGACTAAGCGTAGGAGCTTAGAGGTAAATGGCAGCAGGGAGATGGGTCTTAACCACTTCCCGACCGGCCGTTGTATATAAACGGCCGGACGGTGGCACTGCAGGGTCGGGTGGCCGTCTATAAACGGCCTCCCCGCACCCTGCTTGTGCGCGCTCCCTGGGAGCGCGCAGCACCGCGATCCGGTGCCCGCTGTGTCCTCCGGACACAGTGAGACACCGATCGTCGGACGGGACCTCTGTACGAGGTCCCGATCATGTGATCACTGATTGGCCAATCAGTGATCACATGCAAAGTAGTAAGCAAGATGTCACTTCTGACATCATTGCTTACTATGTGTGATATCTGTGAATGATCACAGAGGTCACATGGTACAAGGCTATTCACAAAAGCCTTGTACCATGTGACAAGCTATGACCAATCACAGTTCACTCAGTTCTCTTCAATGAGTGCAAGAATGCACACAGAGAGAAAGAGAAATGATTGCTTTTATATCCTATATGGGTGTAAAAGCAATCAGTGTAAAAAAAAATAAAAAATCTTCATCACCCCTCACAAGTAGTACAGTGTCACCATGGTGACACTGAACTGCTAGGGTGACAGTATGTAAAAAAAAAAAAAAAAAAAAAAAAAATAATAATATAAAAAAAATAAAATAAAAATGTAAAAAAAAATGTTTAAAAATTATAATTTTTGCTTATAAACTAATTTGGATTTTTTTTTTTTTTTACTAAAAAGATAACGGAATAAATTTTGGCTAAGATTTATGATGAAATATTATTTATTTGCAAAATTTTATAAAAAAAAAAACACTTTTTTTCAAATTTTTTGGACATTTCATTTACATAGCAAAAAAAATACAAATCCCAGTGGTGAATAAATACCACCAAAATAAAGCTTTATCTATCTCAAAAAAATGGTAAAAAATTCATTTGGGTACAGTGTTGCATAACCGCGCAATTGTCATTCAAAGTGTGATAGCGCTAAAAGCTGAAAATTGCCCTGGTCAGGAAGGGGGTAAAAGTGTCCGGTCTGGAAGTGGTTAAGTTGTTCAGGTTGGTGGGGTCAGGGAGGGCTTTTTAAGTATTGGAGTGATGTGTGCATGCTTTAGAGGGGAGGGGAAGGCACCAGTAGAGAAGGAAAGATTGAAGATGTGAGTGAGGGAGCATAGGATGGAAGAAGAGGGTGACCGTAGTAGTTGTGAGGGGACAGGATCCAGGAGGCAGGTAGTGAGACGGGCTTCTGAGAAAACCTTAGTGACCTCTTTGGTAGTAGCAAGGTCAAAAGAGGAAAGTGTTGAGGGAGGTTTAGTAAAAGGTATGCTAAGTGGGATAGATGTCTGTGTAGTGGCGATGCCCCTGCAAATTGCGTCAATCTTGTTTTTGAAATGATTTGCAATCTCGTGAGCAATGAGTGAGGTACTGGGTGGAGTTGGAGGTGGAGAAAGTAGAGAGTTAAAAGTATAGAAGAGACGACGAGAACTGGATGACAAGGTATTAATAAGAGTGACAAAGTAGGCTTGTTTGGCAGCATGAAGGGAGGATTTGTATGTTAAGAAAGCAGATTTATATAGGGTGAATACTTGTTGAGATTTGGTTATATGCCACAATCGCTCCAGCGCACGACTATGTCGTTTAAGATTTCTGGTGTCGTCAGTCTGCCAAGGTTGTAACGGTCGGGGCCTGATGCTTCGTGTTGTTAGAGGAGCAAGTGAGTCTAATGTGGATGAAAGCAAGCTGTTGTAGACAGCAGTGGTCAGGTCAGGGCAGGACAGGGGAGAAATTCTGTCATAGAGTTGGTCAGTTGCAGAGTGGAAAGGAGCAGGGTTCAAGTTGTGGAGGTTTCTGCGGGTAGTTGTTTGCTGCTTGGAGGGATAGGTGTTTGAAGATGAGGACACTGTGAAGGTGATGAGATTGTGATAAGAGAGAGGAAAGGGGGTGTTTGTGAGGTTGTAGGGAGTGCAAAGATGGGAGAAAACAAGGTCTAATGTATTCCGATCAGAGTGAGTGGAGGACTGTATACACCATGCTAATGCAAAAAATGAGGTTAAGTTGAAGAGTTGGGATGCAGCATGGTATCCAGAGGAAGGCAAAAAAACCCAGCAAGGCATGGTCCAATTTGCTCCTACAGGGGGAAAAAACTCCTTCCTGATCCCCCGAAAGGCAATCGGATATTCCCTGGATCAACTTTACCTATAAATGTTAGTATAGGATTGGATTCTGTGTATCCAAGAAAGATTCCAGGCCTTTTTAAAGCAATCCATTCAGCTGGCCAGAACCAACTCTTGAGGGACTCTATTCCACATTTTCACAGCTCTCACTGTGAAGAAACCTTTCCGTGTTTGGAGATTACATTTCTTTTCCTCCAGACGTAAAGAGTGCCCCCTTGTCCTCTGTGATGACCTCAGAGTGAATAGCTCTACACCGAGTTCACTTAATGAACCACTGATATATTTATACATGTTGATCATATCCCCCTTTAATCTCCTTTTCTCAAGAGAGAATAAATTCAGTTCCTCTAATCTTTCCTCATAGCTGAGCTCCTTCATGCCTCTTATCAGTTTGGTTGCCCTTCTCTGTACTTTCTCCAGTTCCTTAATGTTCTTTTTGTGAATTGGTGCCCAAAACTGAACTGCATATTCCAGATGAGGTCTTACTAATGGTTTGTACAGGGGTAAAATGATATCTCTCTCTCTGGAGTCTATACCTCTTTTAATACAAGAGGGGTTTTTGCTCGCTTTAGAAACCGCAGCTTGGCATTGCATGCCATTATTAAGCTTGTGATCTACCAGAACCCCCAGATCCTTCTCCCATTGATTCCCCCAGTTGTACCCCCCTAGTATGTATAATGCATGCATATTCTTAGCCCCCAAGTGCAGAACCTTACATTTATCAACATTAAACCTCATTTGCCACATAGTTGCCCAATTAAGCAGTGCATTGAGGTTGGCTTGTAAGTTGAAGACATCCTATAAAGATGTCATTCCACTGCACAGCTTGGCGTCATCTGCAAAGACTGAAATGGTATTTTTAGTCCCAGACCCTATATCGTTTATAAAAATATATTAAAAAGTAAGGGTCCCAACACTGAACCTTGGGGTACACCACTGACAACCCTAGACCATTCAGAGTATGAATCATTAACCACTACTCTTTGAATACGATCTTTTAGCCAGCTTTCTATCCATTTACAGTTAGGAGAGTCAGCAATCCCCAATCCCCTTGTGTTTCACGAGGTTAAAAGCTAAAGCTGGTCATAGATAGAATGAAATTCAGTCAGTTTAGCAGGGACCGGTCACATTTTGATACATCTATGCCCTCTCCTACTAGAGAGAAGTTGATCTAATGAACAGGAATGTTGTAAATATTTCATTAGATCTGCGCCTGTAGCCAAATTTTAACAATGGTGGAGTCCTGTTGTCAGAACACAATAGTACAGAGGGGAGGATTCCTTCATCCACCTCAAATGTGTAGATGTGGGAATCTGATTAGTTTCTTTGATTAGCCAACTTTCTGACGAAAAAAACATTTCCATCAATGGCCAATTTAGGTTTACCTTTAAGAAAAACACATGAACATACACTATATTGCCAAAAGTATTGGGATAGCCCTCCAAATCATTGGATTCAGGTGTTCCAATCACCTACATGGCCAAAGGTGTAAAAAAAATCAAGCACCTAGGCATGCAGACTGCTTCTACAAACATTTGTGAAAGAATGGGTCGCTCTCAGGAGCTCAGTGAATTCAACCGTGGAACCGTGATAGATTGCCACCTGTGCAATAAGTCCATCCATGAAATTTTCTTCCTACCAAATATTCCACTGTAAACTGTTAGTGGTAATATAACAAAGCGGGAACAACAGCAACTCAGCCATGAAGTGGTAGGCCATGTAACATGACAGAGCGGGGTCAACGCATGCTGAAGCGCACAGTGCACAGAAGTCACCAACTGTCTGCAGAGTCAATAGCTAAAGACCTCCAAATTTAATTTGGCCTTCAGATTAGCACAACAACAGTGCGTGGAGAGCTTCATGGAATGGGTTTCCGTGGCCGAGCAGCTGCATCCAAGCCTTACATCACCAAGTGCAATGCAAACATCAGATGCAGTGGTGTAAAGCTCACCGCCACTGGACTCTAGAGCAGTGGAGACGTGTTCTCTGGAAAGACAAATCACGCTTCTCTGTCTGGCAATCTGATGGACGTGTCTGGGTTTTGTGCTTGCCAGGAGAACGGTACCTGCCAGACTGCATTCTGACAAGTGTAAAGTTTGGTTGAGGGGGGGTTATGGTGTGGGGTTGTTTTTCAGGGGTTGGGCTTGGCCCCTTAGTTCCAGTGAAGGGAACTCTTTTAGGTGTCAGCATACCAATACATTTTGGACAATTTCATGCTCCCAACTTTGTGGGAACAGTTTGGGGATGGCCCCTTCCTTTTCCAACATGACTGCGCACCAGTGCACAAAGCAAGGTCCATAAAGACATAGAGAAGCAAGTTTGGGGTGAAGGAACTTGATTGGCCTGCACAGAGTCCTGACCTTAACCCTACAGAACACCTTTGGAATGAATTAGAGCAGAGACTGCGAGCCAGGCCTTCTCATCCGATATCAGTGCCTGACCTCACAAATGTGCTTCTGGAAGAATGGTCAAACATTCCAATAGACACACTCCTAAACTTTGTGGATGGCCTTCCCAGAAGAGTTGAAGCTGTTATAGCTGCCAAGGGCGTGCCAACTCAATATTGAACCCTACGGACTTAGACTGGGGTGCCATCATGTGCGTGTAAAGGCAGGCGGCCCAATACTTTTTGGCAATATAGTGTATTTTTTACAGGGAAAATATGTACATTTATTCATTTTTACACATGATCAGTCCTTCTGTACATTCACCTGCATATTCTCACTTTCTTCACTTAGAAACTTTTACCAAAAATCTTTGCTATTGTTATAAAATAATTCTCTTCATTGATCAGCTTTTAATACAATGTTTCTTTTGCTCTATTTACTACTATAACATTTGTTTGCAACAGGGGTTAATTACTTTGCTCCCAGACTCACTATTCATATCTTTGCAGCCCCCTGCCTCAGATCCAGTGTTCCCCAGGAGTCCACATAACCCACTTGGCCTTGACACCCTGACTACCCCAATGAATTTCTTATCTCTTCTAACTATCCTATCACCATCATACAACCTAGAACTTTGTTTTTCTGTACTCTTCATTAAAGTGGAACTAAACTATATAACTAAACTGTATAACTGAGCACCATAAACTGAAAATGCTATTTAATTCATTTTTGTTATTCAAACTCACCCATCCATCTATGTCTCCATGCTTTATTTTAACAATAAATCACTTTGAACCTCCCCAGCATTTCTAGCCACATCCATACAAGGGCAGATGATTCATGCAGCATTTACTTACTGGAATCTGTCTGCCCTTAGCTCAGGCATGCAGGTAATAGGGTGTTCTTAGCTGAGTGTGTGTTAAGCCTTTCCTCCCCTTTCTCCTTTCAACATCCCTCACTAACTCCTCAATTAATCTAACTATTTTTATTTGTTTTCACTATTTTCAAAATTAATACTTTTATCACCCACAGTGTTCATCAAGCATTAACACGGGTTCATTTGTCCATTCTGTTGTAATTTTATTTATTCAACTACTCTAGGTCAGTTCTGCCCCTCCCTCCCTATACATTATTCTGTATTAAATTATACTTTATACAATGATTGAATCATCTTGATTGTCAAACTATTAGGCTTGAAAAGCATCTTATTGACATGGACATTTTAGGGACACATTATTGCTATATACGTAGATTTTTATGAAGCTATACTACCTTATTGTTTACTTAAGATGATTACAGTTTTACTTTTTTATACATTCACCCTGATGAAGGGAGGAGGCTTTCCACCCAAATGCATTAACTGTATCTGAGCTCTTAATCATTAAATGTTTCAAAAAGTACTTCAGGTGAGATGAACCTTTGGTGCAGGCACTCCTCTGTCCACATGCAACCATTTATAGCAACAAGTCCATCTGCAGTGGTGGTAGATGGGACATGTAGTTTATTATTTCACAGCCTTGCCAATTTTAGATATGACAGATGATGCAGGGGAGAAAACCCCCCACATGTAATGTCATGGAGGGTAAAAGGGGGGATTACCAACATGTTACACCATAACTTCAAGTGTCCCTGTATGCAGGGGCGGACTGACCATTTGGAAACCCGGGCACTGCCCGAGGGCCCGGGGTCAGTAAGGGGCCCCATGAGATGCCCCTTGTACCTTTTTCATAGGCTTTTTTGAGTTTGGGCAAGGACACAGGGACCTCATGATCCCCTATTGCCCGGGGGCCCCATGAGTTGTTAGTCCGCCCCTGCCTGTATGTGACCTGTTAGCCTTCACTTCCCTTTAAGGTACCCCCTCATCTCAATCCTCCTACTGCATGGGACCTGTATATTACCCCTTTAACCTTCTCCTCCTTTGGCTATGACATTTATGGTGCCCTCTATCTAGTGCACCATCACAAAGCTCCATCTTTTTAACCACCTCAATATCAAAATGTTCCTTCAATTCCAAAAAATGGTGGCAAAAAATGAGAACGCCTTGAGGTGTCTCCTTTCCAAAAAAGGATCATTTTATGGCTTTTTGTACTATGCGTTCATTTTTATTTGATAGTTCCTAGAACAGAAAGTAAGGGAAACATTTTTTTAATAATGGTCTTTTTCTCCTTTTATAGTAAACAATAAAAAGCCCAGTTGTTTTATTACCACCGAAAAAAGCTCTATCTGTCTAAAAAAAAAAGGTTTAAAATTAATTTGGGTACAGTGTTGCATGTCCAAGTAATTGTCAATCAAACTATCAGAGCACTGAAAACTGAAAATGGCCTGCTAATGAAGAGGTATGTACAGGCTGATACTGAAATGATTGACCTTCGGAAGGTTTTGCCCTCTTCATGACCAGGGCATTTTCATCACTGTGCCACTTTAACATGCAGTTGCTCAATCATGCAACATTGTACGCAAATTAAATTATATATATACTGTGTATATATATATATTTTTTTTTTTTTTTTTTTTTTTTTTTCTCACACAATTAGATCTTTCTTTTGATGGTATTTGATCACCACTGGGTTTTTTAGTTTTTATTATATCAACAAAAAAATCCACGAAAATGTTAAAAAAAAACCCACAATATTTTCTACTGTGTATATTTACTGTGAGTGGTCAGCAGGTGAGCATATAAATCATATATAATGTAATTCTTGTAGAAGTACATATTGTACGATATACTACATTAAAGCACACCAAAATGCACTGTTGGTGTTCGCCTGCAATTCCATTAAGTTCTCTGGGCCCTCACAATATATTCTGATATAGTATAATTAACCCAGGCTGTGTATTTGTATTGCAGTGCATTTCAGGTCAGAGATGAACAGCCCTGCTTGATCTATATGATAGTCATGCTGTCAGTGTGGGAGCTCACTGTGTTGCATGGCTGGAAACCACAAAGATGTACAGTTGTGTTCAAAATAATAGCAGTCAGACATCACTAACCTGATCAAGCACTGTTTTTGGTAGAAATTATATTTCTACATGCAAATAATTTACTAGCAGGTTTAGTAGAGTAATAAAAATCCAAAAGACCCAACAGCCATGACATGCATGCTGCTGATTCTGTGTAATTCAATAACTAATTGAAAGGGGCATGTTTAAAACAATAGCAGTGTGGAGTTCTATTAGTGAGGTCATTCATTCTTTGAAAAACTGTCAGAGATCCAGGTATGACAGAGATGTGTGGACTGACATAGGGAACAGCAGGCTTCAGAAATGATGAAATAATAATAAAATGTATTAAGAGCTGCACAAATATACAAACGCAGTGCAAACAAAAACCAAACCTTAAACTAATAATAATATGTACAAGTGTAGTCAGGGCTGAAGAGGTGGAGTGGTCAGGCAGGCCGGGTCGGTAACTATCGGGTAGACAAGGTACAAAGGAGCAGGCAGGAGAATGGTCAGGAATAGCCGGGGTCGGTGCAGACGGAGTTCTGTCAGAGTCAAGCAGGAGAGGCAGAAGACAGGATACAGGAAACAGGATAACAGGGCACATGGGAAAACACCAAGACACTGATTGCAGGCCTGGTACTGCTTAAATACACCTCCTGCAATCAGCCTCAGGTGATGGCTTGATTGCAGGAGTGAGATCCTGGCTGCTGAAAGCACCCGCTGGCAAGCAACGGTACTGCAGCCCACACAGCAGGTGAGCCCCAGCACCACCAGCGGTGAGTCCTTTCCTGACAAAAACAGGTGGCAATTATTGCCCTTATTTAAGGAAGGAAGGCAGCAAATGTTGTACATACTGGTTACAGTGCATTTCTCTCTGAAATTCTGAGGAAAATGGGTCATTCCAGACATTGTTTAGAAGAACAGCGTACCTTGATTAAAAAGTTGATTGGATAGGGGAAAACATATAAAGAAGTGCAGAAAATGATAGGCTGCTCAGCTAAAATGATCGCTAATGCTTTAAAATGGCAACCAAAACCTGAAAGACGTAGAAGAAAGCAAAAAACTACCATTCGAATGGATAGAAGAATAGCCAAAATGGCAAGGACTCAGCCAACAATCAGCTCCAGGAAGATCAAAGAAGGTCTAAAGTTACCTGTGAGTACTGTTACAATTAGAAGACGCCTATGTGAAGCCAAGCTATCTGCAAGAAGCCCCTGCAAAGTCCCACTGTTGAAAAAAGACGTGCTGAAGAGGATACAATTTGCCAAAGAGCACATTGACTGGCCTAAAGAGAAATGGCGCAACATTTTGTGGACTGATGAAAGTAAGATTGTTCTTTTTGGGTCTAGTGGCCGGAGACAGTTTGTCAGACGACCCCCAAACCCTGAATTCAAGCCACAGTACACTGTGAAGACAGTGAAGCATGGTTGCGCAAGCATCATGATATGGGGATGTTTCTCATACTACGGTGTTGAGCCTATTTATCGCATACCAGGGATCATGGATCAGTTTGAATACATCAGAATACTTGAAGAGGTCATGCTGCCTTATGCTGAAGAGGAAATGCCTTTGAAATGGGTGTTCCAACAAGACAACGACCCCAAACACACCAGTAAACGTGCAACATCTTGGTTCCAGACCAACAAGATTGACGTTATAGATTGGCCAGCCATATCCCCGGATCTTAATCCAATAGAAAACTTGTGGGGTGACATCAAAAATGCAGTTTCTGAGGCAAAACCAAGAAATAGAGAAGAACTGTG